CAACCTAATAGCAATAGCGTCCAACCAAATAGCAATGGCCTCCAACCGAATAGCAATGGCCTCCAACCTAGAAGCGATGGCCTCCAACCAAATAGCAATGGCCTCCAACCTAATAGCAATGGCCTCCAACCTAGAAGCGATGGCCTCCAACCTACTAGCGATGGCCTTCAGCCTAGTGTACTGTGCACAGTGGCTCTTGGTGGCTCAGGCGGCGTCTGCTCCTTCGAGATATGCCTTGATGAAATTGCTGGCCTCGACTATTGGAACCCACTCTTGGTCGATGCTAGTCGTGTGGTCATTGAGGCGAATGTCAACAGTCAAACATTATGTATAGTACCTTTGGATTTTGCTCAGCAATTGGGCTCAGATGAATTGAAGCAACGGAAGCTGCACTTTCTTCAAAGCGGTTCAGATCGGTTTGGGGTTTGGTTGTTGTAGGATCCTGAGCTTTCATTCACCTTTTGGTCTACTTTTTCGGATGCCAGGCGCGGCGTTTGACCCGGCGTTGGTTTCCAGACCTCAGCTCGTGCCAAGCGCACTTCGCATGGGAGACGAGCGGAGTCACGAGCGGAGTTGGTTCATCCCAACATGCGGGTTCTCCTCTTTACCAGCCACAAGCTGCTGGCAACGCTGTGACCATGCAGAAGGCAGGTTGGAAGCCATCGCTAGTAGGTTGGAGGCCATTCCTATTTGTTTTTTTTTGCTACCAGCAGCAAATAGCTACTAGTAACAAGGGCATCGCTACTAGTAGCTCCTGGCATCGCTACTAGTAACAAGAAGCTTCTAGGTTGGATGTCCAGACACAGGGAGTTCAAAGGGAAGTCAAAAAGATCGTTTAAAAGTGCCTTACTGGTAGTAACAAGAAGCTATTAGGAACAAGTTTAAAAGTGTCTTTATCTTCTTTGAGTCCTATTTATTGACGAGTCAGGTTCCACAGAGGTTAAACACAACCTGCATATCTTTGCATTCAGCTAGAGTTCACAGAGTTCACCAACGCAGGTTGAGCTACGCACAGAGAATTGCAAGCTCCACACATCGCCATCAAAGGTGCAAGAGCTGAGACGTTCAGAGAACGGGTTGATCTCCGAGCTGTAAAAAGGACCTACTAGCGATGGCCTCCAACCAAAAAGAGGGTCCTTGCTCCTAGTGGTAAGGTCAGGAGCCCCGTTCGTAGCGTCCTTGCCTTCCACCTAAGAGCGATTTTTGAAAGAGGACATGGACCGGATCATCGTTCCCTTACGGTCTCCTTGCTTTAACGTGATTCCTGTGTCCGCGGCTTTTGGTTCCTTCGGAGGTGCGACAGACCTATTGGCAGCCGCGCCCAGAAGAGGCATCCTACGCTCGCCTCAATGCCTTGGCAGAGACGGCCCAGCGCGTCTTGCGGCCACGATCTCTGGACCCTGCCGTATCCAACCTAGAAGCTTCCTTTGACTGAATGCAAAAGGAACCTATTAGCGATGGCCTCCAACCTACTAGGATAGAAACAAGAGTGGACAGCGCAAGAACCAACAGATTGGATTTGGCCTTTCGACATAGGTCTTGGCCGTTGGAAACATGTGCAAATGTTGTCGAGATGTTTGGTCGTCGCAAATAAGAGCTGCGGAGGACGAGGACTTTGCAAAGACAGACGAGACACCGAGTGAGGCCCGTCGAATTGTGCCTTACACGCGCGATCTTTTTGGGGGATGCAGCTAGATCAACCACTATGTTCCAAGCTTTCTCGGAGCCAAATATATACATGGCCCTGGTGTCGCCAAGCTGGGAAGAAAGGAAAGAACAGATAAATAGGTAGGATCTTCTAAAGGTCCAAAGACAGAAACAAAAAAGGTGAAACAGATAAAGTCAAAAGCTGGAACGGCTACAAGGCTGGAGAGGTTTACGGCTGCGATGGTGGCACTGGAAGCAGCGTTGGAGTTCTCAACACCTCGCAAGAGGTGGTGGAGCTCCTCTACAATCGCACTGCAACATGGCGAGACCAAATCAAGCTGTGATGACTCAGGATGTTTGTGCTTGGGAACTATATGTGAAAGTGAAACTTAAAAACGGTTGAGAGGAGTTGACATTCTGTTCATTTTTTTTTGCGGCATCGTTGAAGAGGTGCTTGATAGCTTGACCGGTTCGAAGAGCGAGCTTGGCTCCAGACAGGTGGAGAGTTCTGAACGGATCATTGCTTCGGCTTTGAGGTGAACTTTCGCTTTGACGATCCATTCCTTCCCTATGTGCTTCGCGAGGCAAAGGGAAATTGTGATATGTGCACATCAGGGTTCTTTTAAGGAATGCATGCTACTACTAGTAGTAGTGCCCTGGTTACCTAGTAGCGATGCCAGGAGCCCCTAGTAGCGTCCTTTTGTTCCTAATAGTAAGGCCCTTGCTCCGTTCGTAGCGATGCCCTTTGCTCCTAGCAGTAGCGTCCTGTCTTTCCCCCGCGGGAGGTGATCCATGATCCTGAACATCATCGCCTATTACGCCTCTGTGAGGCTGGCATTCCAGCCTGGGCCATTGTACCTTGGAATCAGTTGGTCAAGACCGTTTCGGAAGTAAACAAAAGTGACCAATCGCGGTTCCAATCAGTTCGTAGATCCACATGCCAGATAGTGCCAACCACTCTGATTGAACTCCGGCCCGCATTTCTTTCTTCTTATGTTCGATGTTCAGCGGAGCGGGATACGGAGCTAGCGTCCTTGCTCCGTTCGTAGCGATGCCAGGAGCCCCTAGTAGCGTCCTTGCTCCTAGTAGCGTTCTCTCCTAGGTCTTGCCCAAATTCACGGGTCTTTACCACCGCTACATGCGTCATCTTGTGGCGGCCATTGTGGTGCTAGTGTCGTGCCTATCGATGCTCTTGGGTTTCTACGATTTGCCGACGGCTTAGACACTTCCAGAGGAGTTTTCACAAAAGGAAAGAATGTGAGCTGAGAGACTATGCAGAACAGGTAGAATTGTGTTTGCGAATGTAGATGTGAGGAAGATTGATTGCATAGATTGGCATAGATGCGTATTGTTTTGTTATGTTTTATTGTTTGCATTTGTTTTGTTTCGATCGCAGATACAAACGCATTCCTTTGGTGCGATCCTTGCTGAAACAATCGCTTGGCCCTTTGAGTAGCAAGCTGGAGGAGCTCGTAGTTGTGCCTTGGACGAGACGGAGCGTTCAACATTCAAACAGGAAAAAGTCGAGAAGCTCCCAACAAACAGACAGACTAATAAAAATAGCCTTAAACATGTTTGAGTTTTTTATGGTTTTTCTTTTTGGTTATCTTTTTGTTCTTTTCTTTCTTTGGACATGTTTGGCTTGTATTTGTTCAATCCTTTTCGTTCTTCCTTTCTTTTTTTTGAAGCCAGATGTCCGTAGACCCACGCTTGAAGACCCCCAACGCAAGTCCACAAGAATCCTGACGACAGGTGCGTCTTTCGTTCCTCTTGGGATGGATATTACCCTACAACACCATCTTGCGGCGCACATGGCATGGCCTCCAAATGCTTTGGGACTTCCTCAAGAGCATTTGTGCCGAGCCAAGTTGCATAGAACTTGCAAAACTGATTTCACAGTTGTTTATCGATGATTGCGTCATTAATAGTTGAAGTAGCATCTTTGTGGGAGAGTTACATTTGTATGCAGGTTGCGCCACACCCCCTTTTCCCGCTTTCCGAACATCCGGGGATACGATACAATGTTGAGGCCTTGGCCTCTTTTCGGCGGCAACGATGGCAACTTCTGCTGCGTCTTCATTGCTGCAACCGGCAACGTCGTTCTTCTTCTCACCAGTCATAGGAGCAGCTTCGGCCGGCAGGCAGAGACGTTGAAAGTGAGGTCTAGTAGCGTCCTTGCTCCTAGGAGCGATGCCCTTTGCTCCTAGTAGCGTCCTTGCCCAATGTGTTCCGACACGGCAATTGAACTACGAGGCTTATCCAACACGCTGATATCCCAGGGTATTTGGTATCACTCCGTCATGCGGCAGGTCTGTCTTCCAGGCCGTAGCCACCACCGGCAATGCCTTCGCTCGGCTCTTCTCGGGCTCTGGCGACTTAGCAAAAACAGAAGAGAGAGAGAGAGTCGAAAGAGGCCAAAAAAACGAACAGGAATGGAAAATGTTGTTCAAGTTAGCCTTGAGAGATTGACACACGTGGTGCGTTTGTTTTGAGGGTCCAAGTAGTCTCCGAGTCTCCGTGTTTGCTGTGTTCATGTAAGTCTCGAGTAAGTGGGAGGCCAACAGGCAGTGAAGCTGAAATGGATAACTTTTGAAGATCTCCAATCATATGTATTCAATTGTTTCCTGTGCTACTTGCTCCAAAGCCAGGGACCGTTTTGCTGGCCAGAATTGAGCTGTGCCAGGTTCCAGCTTCTCAAGTGGTTTTGGTACAGCTGGGCTTTTGCGTGCCGAATTCAACATGGCTCGTCAGGCTTTGACCGGGCAGCGACACCTTTTACTACATCAAGAAATGCTACAATGCTGACCTTGAGGGGATAGGTTTAAGTGCTCCTTGCTACTAGCACAGGTCTTTGGCAAGGAATTGTTTGGAATGAAAATGGCCTGCTAGCAAGACAATCTACTACTAACCAGTTCTCTTCGACCTTTTTTGTTGACATTGTGTGAGGCCTTCATGAGTGTCTACAACTCCACATGCTTCCTAGGTGCGACGATTGCAAAGCACCAGGCAGGAAAGAAAACCCACCAAGTTGGATCTCACCAGAACAGCGATGGCAAAGATACTTTTGCTGAATTGCTCCATTATATTGTACGTTGCTGTTTTTTAGACAAACTGAGCATAGAATTTCAGCTTGTTAGTTGAGTGTCATTGAGTTTTAGTTTGACCTTCGAAGCGGTTTCGCATTCTTTTCGTTTTGATTCCCTCTTCCATTGAGGAAAAGAAGCGTGAGTTACCTTGAGGCCTCCACCTCCGTGTGGCTCTCCCGCTGGCGGCATCGCCAATGGCGGCGCGTGGCAAAGCTCACGGAGAGGCGCCCGTACGACGGAACGGACCGGAGAAACAAAGGGAAAGAATGCCCCTAGTAGCGATGCCCTTTGCAGTAGCTTCTTGCTCCTAGTAGTAAGGCCAGGAGCCCCTAGTAGCGTCCTTGCCCCTAGTAGCGATGCCAGGAGCCCCTAGTAGCGAACATTGTTCCTAAATGCAAAACTCAGAAATGCAAATCTTGGATGAAAAGAACATGTTGGCATACTCTTCTTGGATTGTTTGGCATTAACCACGAGAGCACGGAAGCATTTGAGACTGGAATGAAGTCATGGATTTTTCTTCAGACTCAAACCGCAAGGGAAATATGCCATGCCAACACTTCATGATTGTTAGGATTGTTTGGTTTTGGAGGGTTCAAAAACATGACGGAAAGCTTTGTTTGGAGAGTTCAATCCAGGCCTCTTTGGTTGTTGGTGCTTTTGATCCTGGCCTTCACCCGTTTTTATCCGGGTGATTTCACGGTGGCTTGGCCAAGAAGCGGAAGGTGTTCTTAAGGCAAACAAAAAAAGTGAAAGACATGTAAAAAGAAGGTGTGAAAGAAAAATAAACAGGTAATCTTTGAAACGGATTATTTTTGTATATGCTTTATTTAAACGCAAAAAAGAAGCGGCAACAGAAGCGCTCAAGCGGACATGGACGAGGACGACGAGACGAACGAGTGAGGTCCGCTGTGGTGATTCCATTCTGTGGGATTTGGCCGTGGCTGTCACCAGGTCTTTCGGCTTCGAATATGTTTTCTCTCGGCCTTGGAAGGAAGCTACAGCTAAGGGTGTAGGCCGCTAAGAGGTAGCTAGTAGTAGCTAGGTGGCCAGTAGAAGAGGTAGCTAGTAGCTTAAGTAGCTACTACTTAAGTAACAACAACCCTTCTTTTAAGGCGGGGGGGAGCTTCCAACAAGAAGCGCTCGCACTATTCATTTGGTTGCTAGATTTTTAAGGAAACTTAAGGTTGGCGGCCATTGCTAGTAGGCTGGAGGCCATCGCTCTTAGGTTGGAAGCCATCGCTGATAGGTTGAACAGGTGAGCTAGTTAGTAGCTATTGGGTACTGGACGCTGCTACCTACTGGACGCAGGGTAGCTCACGCACCAATCATTTGGTTCCTAGATTTTTAGGGAAACTGCCGTATCACCAGCTGTTTCCTTTGGTGTTGTCACCACTCTGTGTGTGTGGTTTGAACTGAAGCATCCCCTCTTTGCCGTTGGCCAAGGTTCTTTTAGCGCTTAGCGCTGCTGGGTATGAAAGCACAGAATTTCTGCCTTGCTGCTTTTGCACAGCTTTGCAGAGTCCTTCGGCTCCAAAGTGAAATGACCTGTTCAACAGATCATACCTTAAATTGTTGTAAAAACAAACTGCGAATAGAGAGGACATGTTGACTTGGTTGACCAACAATCAAGATAAAAAAAAAGGAAAATAGATGGTCGTAGAAAGAAATCAAAGATAATTTACAGTCGTTGCTTCGTCTCAATTCGCAGTTGGAGCTTGTGCTCATACCTTGACCCTGTGAGTCGCTGTGAGGAAGCTGACCAAAATCCGGTGTGACACATGTATAGCAAGATCTTGTCCACCTTTAGCAGAAGGGAAAGAGGGTTGTCTTTTTTTTGTTTTTCCGCTTCGCACTCCAAAATGGTCTTGTGCGGCCTGCAGTTGGCGCAAGCATTGTGCGAGCCACCAGCATTGCACAGGAAGGCTACGACGCTCAAGCCAACCAGCTTGCGACTGAGAAACTTCCACGGCAGAAGGTGCTCATGCGCTGATGGGTAGAGATCATGTGTTGTGCCGTGTCTCAAAGGTATGGCTATGTGAATGTGACCGACATGAAAGCCATGGGGAACCTTGCTGAGTTCCTGGGTCTGGAACCCGATGTCGTCAGCAAGGAGATGAAGGCGCTAGACTTTGACGCGAACAACATGGTTTCATTTGCAGAGCACGGCACTCAGCCAGATTGAGAGTAGTTGCCTTGTCAGGCACGTAAAAGGAAATTGAAAGCTGAGGTTCGTCCTGTGGGCCGACAAGCACACCATTGGCATTCCGACTGATTCTGAGTTGCCGTGTGCTGTGATGCTGAGTTCAAATTTGGCAGAACTAAGTCTATAGAGAAGGAAATCGCTCTTAGGGGCTCCTGGCATCGCTCCTAGGAGCAAGGACGCTACTAGAGAAGGAAATCGGTCTTAGGGTGGAGACCATCGCTTCTAACTCTTTTTCACGCCCAGCCCCCAGGCTCGGGATCGAAATTCCGGACAAGCGAGAATGGAGGCTCGAGATTCCAGAGATTCCACACATTTTTACTAGTAACAAGGGCATCGCTACTAGGAGCAATGAAGCTACTAGGGGCTCCTGGCCTTACTACTAGGAGCAAAGGGCATCGCTACTAGTAGCAAGAAGCTACTAGCAACAAGGGCATGTTCATGATCTGGTGCGGGAGGGGGCCGCAGCGGGGACCGCACGGGCCGGCACATCCGGATTTCTTTGCAGGAAGGGCATGCCAACCTGGTGGACGAGCATTCCACCGCCCTCCCCCGAAGAAGAGGTGCACCAACCGGTGAGTTGTCCAGTCTGTCCTTTCAGTTGGTGAAACAGAAAGCACTCCACTCCTGAGCGGTAGTGACAAAACGAAGGAAGAACAGAAAGAAAGTCAAATGCTCTAAAGTATACTTTCCCACTTGGTCTAAGCAGTAGGACATGTATTGTACAGGGCAGGTTCTTCAAGGGCTTCTCCTCCGAGTCTCCTCCTGTCTTGAAGCGACATCAAGCATCCCTACTAGTCTACTCTTTGCATCTAGGAGCTTCCTTTCGACTGAATTGTCCCACGTCAACCTTACTAGACCTCTACAAGTACAGGTTTTACCGAAAAGAATCGAAGAACCCAATTCCGAGAGATGCTTAAAGGAAGCTCCCGCGCGGAAAAAGCAGCTTCGAGCAGAGTGTGCATCCAAGCTGGACGTCGCGTTGCTATGTTGTTTACTTGTTCGCTGCCTCTAAAAGCGACGGCTTACCTCCGTTTTGAACAGAGAGTGGTGACGACCCAAGACCCAAGCTTTCCAGCCTATGCGTTACGAACATATGTTCCCTCCCAAAAGACTTGTGGTTCCTTTGCCGTTCCTTTTTGCGCTCAGTTCTGCTTGATTTTTTTCCGACCTTTTAGACCGTTTTTCCTGTCTTCCTTTTCTGTTTGTTTTTTCCAAGCATATACGCTTGTTTTTTTCAATGTCCATGTCCTTCTCGTCCAGTTTGACTTTGGATCCACGATGTGAAAGCGCAAAAGAGTCAGAATGGTGGACTCAGAACATTTGTCAAGACCTCGGGGTTTTCAATAGGTTCGCTGACCTGGGGCAGCGTTTCTTTGAGAGTACCTGCCCTTATTGACTCCAGTGTTCCTGCACAGTTTGCAATTGTAGCCTTCGCTTGTTGCATTCTTGAGCCAAAAAGGGAATAAAGAAGGAAGAAAGGAAGGACTGAAGAAGCATATAGAAAAACAACAAAACGCAGGAAAGAATAACCAATAAAGGGGAAGCAAGTTGATCCAGTTTACGCAGGCTTTGAGCCAGGACCTTGCTGTACGGAGCATCAACCATGTTATTTTGCCGCCTTGTTTTCGATACATCTTCAAAAGAAATGAAGGTTGAATACAACTGCACCGCAAAAGAAACATTCTATGTTCAAAACAGTGTTCAAACTTTATATATAAGCAGAACACAAAGAGACTCAACATGCTACAAATGAGTAGTAGATAACAGGAACCTATATATTGCATTCTCACATCTTGTCTTGGATCAAGAGCAAATGATTATAGAAACTACGAGGAGTTGAAATAGATCCGAAGACCAAAGGAAAAGAAGAGCAAGAGACTAAGAGGACTCTCAAGGACTCCTTCGGACCTGCCGTAGGCACTGTTAAAAGCAGCGACAGCGGGCGCAAAGGGATCGAAGTCCAAGAAGTCGAAGGCCAAACCAAAGGCCGGAGAAGCGAGGTTGAGGTCTCAAGAACAAAAAGGAAAAGATGATAAAAACGTGACAATAAATAAGACATACATACACTGAAATCTGTTCGAAACATCTTGCAAGTGTGATGCTTTCGAGACGGTCGGTTCCTGAAGATTTCCCAAGACTCACAATGCAGGTGGCCGAAGACCCAGACACCTCAGAGTTGGAGGACGATTGAGATGGATCGGTTCCCTTTTCGACGAGAAAGGCAGTATGACGAAGATGCAGTTCCTAAGAGTCAGGCTTAGCAATAGCTCAGTAGGTCTTAAATTCCAGACCCAAGTTCCCCTAAAAAGGGGTGTAAAGACTTCCAACATGTGAAGTGTCCTGTTGGAGGCCATCACTATTTCCTTCGAAACGAAACCCTTCTTTTTGCAAAGGGTTCTTCACGGAAGATGTCCCCGCCGCTGATGATTCTGCATCCCTTCTTTGCTTCCGATTGCTTCCTACTCCCCTTACCACTCTTTCTCGCTAGCGCTAGCTAGCTACTGACTTCAGCTCTCCTCACTGCCTACTCCCCTTTTTAAAAAAATGAAGATGTACACCTGTATAGTAGAGGTAAAACCACTTCACTTCGGATAAACTGGGACTTCAGGACTTCATTGCTGCTGCAAAAGAAGGTGAGTGAGAAACATTGCGAGAAATCCTTGGCAGACATCCTGGCTATGCTTGGCCCCTGAGTTTTTCCCACAACTTTTCTCGCAAGAAACCAACATGAGGAATTGGAAGACAACAAAAACATCTGAAAAAGAAAGGAGAAAAGGAAGAAAGACGGTCTATAGGTGTCAAAAATGAAAAGGAAAATCACTGTGTCAAAGAAAAGAAATCCTCCCAGGTGAACATGCGGCCACCTTATCGCCGCTACGCCGCGATTCACCAGGCGACGGGTCGGCTTTAGAGATTCATTTCAGATTCATTTCGGTCGCCACCTAGGCGTGTTACCATGGAGATGTGGAAGTGATTCGAGAACTCGCTTCAGTTTGACGCTCAGAGCTGGAAGTTTTGCTCCTAACTAATAAATACAAGTAAGTCTTGCAATTGCCCCTTTTGAGACCTGGTTTGCTGACGTCCTGCTGAAGACGAAGGTGCGGATTTGGAGAGAGAATGCATGCGATGCCCGATGCTGTGTAGAGCATGCTCTTTTTGATAAGATGCTCAAACTTGCATGTGATTCTGCTTGCATTGTCGGTCAATCCAGGATGGGCAAACTCCAGAAGAAGTCGTCCTCCCGGCCAACTTGATTCAACTTCAGCAGGTCATGGATGAAAGGACTTCTATGATGTTGCAAGTCTTGGGAAGTCAGAAAGACACAAAAAGCATGAAAGCATAAAGAAGAGACTGACGTTGCCCTCAAACAAGAAAAGTCAAGCTGATTTCAACCTAACACAGACCTAGTGAATGCACCCAATCATGAGAGCGTTTGCGTTTGAACCAATTGATGTCATGAACCTCAGCGCCAATTCACCTGCTCAACGAAGACAAAGCGTTTTGGAGCTCCGATTGATAGAGAGAAAGGCATTTGGGTCAGTCCAATTGGGCAAAGCGATTTCAACACTTTTGACACGCAGAAAGAACTGCTTTTAATATATAGCACTAATGGTGGGTGGGCATTGCAGCTAGAGCAACGTAGGCAAATTGTTTCCTTTTCTGATAGCAAAGATATCAAAAAGAATGCTAAAGTCAAAGCTGCTGGGTCAACCGAAGCGCTTCTCATTGGCCTGTCGGTCTTCAATCTATGTCGTGCAAGAGAAGCAGAGAAGAGCTGGATGCGGAGAAGCCTGCAGAGCGGTCTGTGGTGGCCACTTTTCCGAAGCGCTTTGAAGGCCAACGTGTCTTGGTGACGGGAGGCTCCATGGGAATTGGCGCAAGCATTGCGCGTGCTTTTGCGGAGGAAGCTGCCCAAGTGGTCGTCGCGGATTTAGTGGAGCCCGAGAACCTCTCGTGCACGTTTTTCAAGTGTGATTGTGCAGTACCTGAGCAGTTCGAGCGGTGTTGCAAGGAGGCTGGTCCAGTGGATATTTTAATCAACAATGTGTGCGTTCAGCTGGAGGCACCCTGTCATGAACACAGTCTCGAGGATTGGAATAAGACTCTCTCCATTGGCCTCACATCCTATTTCTTGTTCTCTAAGTATGTGCTGCCACACATGATGCAGTCCAAGAAGGGCGTGATCATCAACATTGCATCCGTGCAGGGCAGCCAATCACAACCGCGAATACCGGCTTATGCAGCAGTCAAGGGAGGTGTGTTATCCCTTACACGACAACTGGCCGTGGAGTATGCAGCCATGGGGATACGAGTTAACTCCGTAAGTCCAGGCCAAAGCCCAAAACTTCAATTCAGCTTCGGGATAGGCTTCAAACAGCTTTCAAGTGCTAAAGGGCATCTAAAACAACACATGCCTTGAGATTCAGTTGTGTTCTTTACCTTTAAATCTATTTGCGTTGATTTTGTTGACAGTCTTTGCTTCATATGCGCGAACAACTTGTGTGTCTTCGCAGCTTTGACTTTCTTTCCGGAGGGACGATTGCGACGCCGCTGGTTGAGTCTCTCTTGAACCGGCGAAGCTCTACTGCTGAAGAAGCTGGCACTGTTTATCCTATGAAGCGTATTGGGAAGCCTTCGGAAATCGCGAGGGTGGTCCTGTCCCCAAGCGGCAGCTTTGACTTTTTCATTCCCTGATTCTTTGGTGAGGGAAATCCTTGCTCCTATTAGCTTCTTGTTCCTAGTAGTAAGGCCAGGAGCCCCTAGCAGCGTCCTTGCTCGTAGTAGCGATGCCCTTTGCTCCTAGTAGCTTCTTGTTACTAGTAGCGAGGACCTCCAACCTACTTGCGATGGCCTGCACCTAATAGCATCCTTGCTACCAGAAAAACTTGGAAAACTGGTAAGGCAGTAAGGCCTTATTTAGGGGCGCTCTCAGGGCTGAGCGTCACTCTGAGGTTCCTGGCTTCTGAGGAAGCCAGCTTCATTACGGCAGAGGATATCACAGTGGATGGTGGCATTACGAGCCTGGGCGGATGGGCCAAAGTTGCCTAGTGTTCAGTGAAAACAAAAAAGTTGCCAAGTGTGAGAAAAAGCAACACGATTGCGTTTGCGTAGGAAATCTATCCGATTTGATCTGATTTGGCTTTGGCCAGGCAGAAGAGAACGGTAACGAAGAGGCTGTGTCCTGCTTGCAGGACTGTAGAATTCTAAAACTTTTGGCGTTTAGCCTCTAAGAATTGAATGCGTCCTGTCATTTGAGGAACTGGCCGCGGGAAAGGATGATGCTGAAGATGAAGATGCGTCCTGAGCCTACCTTTGCAGCAAAGCGAAACAGTTTGCAAGATATTTGGTGCTTTACAGAGCTAGTCAGGGAGTCAGAGGTGGAAGAGCCCCCGACCAAGATGCTGCGGGGAGGTGGCTGTGAGCTTGTCAGCGACCTAGGACCTTCCGACCTTCGGACCACCTTCGGACGACCTTCGGACCACCTTCGGACCACCTTCGGACCCTAGCAGGTATGTTTGGCAAGTAGCTTCCTTGCTCCGTTCGTAGCGATGCCCTTTGTACCTAGTAGCGTCCTTGCTCCTAGTAGAAGAAGCACATTGCCAACATCTGGCAACATCAAAGATGCACAGATTGAGCACCCTGCAAAGCCAAGGATGCTGAGCAGCTCATGGAAAAGGCCAACGAGGTGCAACTCTTGAAAGATAGACGTGGCAGAATTAGCAGTTCCGATAAGATTGGAAGTGACAAAGTCACAAAACGGTCGTATAAAGTCACTAAGTGATTAGTACTACGAGCAATGTTAGCTACTACGGGCTCCTGGCCTTACTACTAGCAACGAGAACGCATTTCAACCATAGAAATCGTTAGAAGAGATGTTCCTCTTTGGCACCGCAGAGGCCATTGAGCATGCGAAGTGGGAGCGTTGGGATGAGATGTTCGAGATTTTCGATGTCTATCCAGGCAAACCAACAAACAAAAACAAACAAATGTTCTTTAACGTCATGAAAGAAAATTGGCAGTTGTTCATTGGATGGCCCAGCTATTCTTGCTAAATCACATGGAACTCCAAAATGTACTACGCCTGCTCATGTCAATCATAGTTTGCGTGTGCAAAAGTAAGAATAAAAAGAAATGGAACATAAGAAGGTAGGGGCCAGTAAGGACCCCTTTGAATACAGGGCCCTTACATTCTTATCCCTTTTCTGTTCCCTGCCTGGACCTGGACCTATCTTGTTCCACTCTCCCCCTTTCGTGCGACAGGTTGCCAAAACATGCGGCCTGAGTTCCGTCGTTGGGCTGCAGGTCTCTGAGTTTTCGACTTGACGGTTCGGGAAAAACAATAGTATTGCTCCTAGTAGCGTCCTTGTTCCTAGTAGCGATGCCAGGAGCCCCGTTCGTAGCGTTCTTGCTCCTAGTAAGGCCAGGAGACCCCAAATACCCAAAAGCTTTGAAACCATCAGCAAGCGAGCACGATGGAAGGCGGGATGAAGCATTCCGAATCTGTCAGCTGAGGCCATCCATCAGGTGATCTTTGCTGGAAATGTAGAGACCTTGAAACGAATGGTCGATAGCGGAGCAAATCCAGGCCAGATTGATGTGAATACTGTTTGACATGCAACACATGCATGAAAAAAGGTGTTGGACCGCCTTGTGGATCCATTGAGATTGCACTCGTGGAGAGGCTTGCTGACCAGAGACAAGGCGATGCTCCGAACCTGTCCTTTCTGTCTTTTTTCTATTTGACCTTTCTTTTTTGACATCTATTTTTAGTTGTTACTTTTATAGGAAAAAGGTGCTGAATTGGCAGGAGACGCCCCTCCAAGTGGCTGAGCAGTTGGGTCAGAGCGAAGTCGTGGAGTACCTCAACACCCTTGAGGCGAGAAAAGCAAGAAGTGCAGCCTCCAAGCTAGCGGCACTAGCGTCCTTGTTCCTAGTAGCGGTGCCAGGAGCCCCTAGTAGCGTCCTTGTTACTAGTAGTAAGGCACCTTGCTACTACTAGCGTCCTTGCTCCAAAGAAGGAATATGAGGCGAGATCGTTTTGCTGAATAAGAGAAGAATATAATGGTCAAAAAGCACTAGTTTGGGGAGAGGGAGAGAGAGAAAGAAAAAACAACAAGCTGGTCACGTCCAAAATTGCGAAGACCACGTCTACCTGGCAGGCACGTCATGCACAGAGTTTCTCATACCTGATACCCTTGTATAAACCAAAGGGGCCTTAGTAAAGGGTCCCTTACCTTCCCTTTTTCCATCGCTAGTAGGTTGGAGGCCATGGCTAGGCGGCTAGTAGGTCCCTTACCTTTCCTTTTCCCTCTCAGACCTTTCCTTCCAAAGTCTCATTGTAGGTCAGCGCAGACAGCGCAGCCTTGCTGCAGCAGGCACATCAGGCGAGAAGATTGAAAGCCAGAAGTCACCATGGGACAGTTGAGTCCATTGAATAAATCCATTCAAGCATTGCTAGTAATCCTCTTGTTCCTAGTAGTAAGGACAGGAGCTACTAGTAGCTTCTTGCTACTAGTAGTAATGCCCTGTAAGAAAACTGTGCCCGACATGTTTTGGAGACAGGTGATTGATGCAGCAAAGGAAGGCAAGTGGGTGGTGTACTGAGCTGTTCTCCAGGTACTTTACGGAGCTTCAACTGCTTTATGAAGAACACAATGTGCCGCAGAGTTCCGACAGTCTAGATCAAATTCCCTAAACCCTAGGTTGACAATGTGTGTCAGTAGCAAGGACACTACTAGGGGCTCCTGTCATCGCCACTAGTAGCAAGAGACGCTACTAGGTTGGAGGCCATGTGTAAATTCTAAGGATGAGACCTTTGAGCTCCTCAAGGGCTTCAGCAATCCTGAGCAGGTGGTCAACACGCGGCCATCTGCCACTTGGACGAGTGGAAGATTGCACAATTAGGCCATGGCCTCCAATCTATTAGCGTCCTCTTGCTACTAGTAGCGATGCCAGGAGAGCCTAGTAGCATCCTTGCTCCTAGTAGCGATGCCCTTTGCTCCTAGTAGCTTCTTGCTACTTGTAATAATATTAGGCGTTGACGGTGATTATGCAATGATTTGTTTCTCAACGCAGTGCTTGGCCTTTGAGGTACGGCAATATGGCAGCCAGCCCAGACCAACACGAAGTCAACAACTGTTTTTGTGTGTGTTCAATGTCTAAACTCGGTGCTTTCAATGTCCACCACATATTTGTTTGTGCTAGGAGCAAGGATGCTACTAGTAGCTCTAGGAACAAGAGGACGCTACTAGTAACGGCATCGCTACGAACGGAGCAAGGACGCTACTGGTAGCTATTTGCTGTTAGTAGGAATGCCATTTGTTCCTAGTAGCGTCCTTGTTCCTAGTAGTAAGGCCAGGAGCCCCTAGTAGTGTCCTTGCTCCTAGTAGCGATGCCCTTTGTTCCTAGTAGCGATGTTGTTTGTTTGGCAAGGACGCTAGTAGTAGTCTCGGTGTTTCAGGTGTTCTTCATCAAGCGGCCTTCCACGGCGACATCGAGGCAACGAGACGAAACGAAAAAACATCGGAGCATCGATGTTGTGTGTTTTCCGCGCGCGCGCAGGGGGGGTAGGCCGCTAGGAAGTAGTAGCTAGAGGTAGGTAGCTAGTAGAAGAGGTAGCTAGTAGCCAACAAGTAGCTACTAGTGACAGAGGATGCAGGATAGCTCACGTTTCTATTCATTTGGTTCCTAGATTTGTTTAGGGAAACTTGACCGTTGGACCTTTCTTTCAAACAGGAAAACAAAAAGAACACCAACAAAGACAATGCATGATGAACATTCAGGACAAAGAAACATAGAAAGAATAAAATAAGCAAGAAAACTCTGGCTAGCCAAAATTTTGTCGGCAAAAGCAAGAAAAAGAACCTTAGAGCCACAAAGCTCAAAATCTTAGATCCTCTTGAAATGGACAAAGTGCCATGAAGTGACAGAACGCTCTAGACATTCCCTGCGTAGAGGTGCTTCGACGTTTGCTGGAGGATTACAAGGCCAATGTCAAGCTGTTGACCAAGGAGGGGGACTGCAACAAGCAAATGGCAATACCAGCTACCAGTGTCTTGTTCTTCTTCTTCTTCTTCTTCTTCAAAGTAACCGTTTTGGAGTCGCCTAAGTGACCTCAAACCAGGATATCAAATGGTCACTTTGAAGAACGAGGTAGTTAGTTGCAAAGAATGGAACAAAGAGGCCTCAAAAGCAACCAGAGATATTACATGCATCAGACGCAAAACTCCTTGGGGGTTGCAGTGTTTGGAAAAATGTTTTTGAAATGATTTTGGGATGTCGGAGTTCAAAGCAAGGATGGGAAGACAGCGTTGCAGATCGCTGAAAGTGCCGGGAAAGAAGCTGCGATAAAATACCTCGAGGTGCCAAGTACAGCTCCAAACAGAGTTTGCATGCTACAAGATGCCTTTGGGGTAAGGCTGCAAGCCCTTTGTGCGCTAGGCCTGTGTACCGAGCATCCAGCTAGAGGATGATTTCGTGAAGTATCCAGAGCAGGTGTGGTCGACCGTCCTTTTCGTAGGGCCTTCTGCTTACGCTACTGCTTACAGCCAAATCTAACTACGATTGCAAGCAACACTTCTTGAGGGGGAGTCACAAGGAAAGCTCTCACTTCTCTTGACTGAAAGACATGCACAAGCACAGCAGCACAGCACACATGGCACGTGGCACCGCCGCACATGCACATTCGCAGCTGCTCCAGCTGTAGCCCACGGTAGCCATGGCTCGAGTGACCGTGGTGACAGCTGGAGGCGCTCTCCGAGTGGACCGAGTCCGCTTTTGTGAGGATTAGGGCTGTTCACGCCAGGAAGCAAGATCCAAAGACAGAAAACAAAAGGGCTAAAGAAAAGCGGATCGAAAGAGAAAGGTCTAATTTGAATATTGTTTAAAATTGCAGGCAAAATGTTCTTTTCTTTGTAAGGGGAAGATAAGGTGAAGGCATCAGGCTGGGCACTTTTCAGACCACTTTGTGGAGAGGTACTATTGTGGCAGAGAACCACAAGCTTGAGCCAGATGATACTTTCAGTGAGTCTTGATGCGTATATCTCTTGTGAAAGTTTTCAGCAAGGTGTAAAGTCAGGAGTTGTGTGTTTGCTGTTTCTGTTAAACCACTGCTTCTAGGTTGGAGGCCATGGCTAATAAACATTATGTTCAGATTCCTTGCATGTATTCCTTTGCTATTAGGTTGGAGGCCATTCCATGTCATTTCTGAAGTCAGGAGTTTTGTGTCTAACAACCGTTGTTCTGATCCTATCATTTCTTCTAGTAAGGCCAGGAGCCCCTAGTAGCAAGCCTTGTTACTACTAGTAAGGCACTTGTTACTAGAAGCGATGCACTTGTTTCTAATAGCAAACATTGTTCTGATCCTTTCATTTCTTGATTCCAACGTCAAATATTATTTCGCTGTGCGTAGTGGTCTGAGCCAAGGAGTTGCTGGAGATGGGAATCTTGAAAATCCCACACGATCCAGACACCATTCTAAGGCCGGGTGCGAAGTAAGTAAGATCGGTAAAAGGTCGCAGAGACGAACTTCTTGTTTCTAATAGTAAGGCACTTGTTGCTAGTAGCGATGCACTTGTTACTAGGAGCTTCTTGTTTCTAATAGCTTTCATGTTCAATTTCTGTGTTCCGTCTTTGAGGTTCCAGCTATTGTCTCCCAGTGGTGAAATCCTGAAGAAGGAGACCCGGGTTGCGTCCAGAGTGAATGATGGCGACACCTTGACCTTTATCATGGTGGCGAGAGATCCCCGTGCCCATGCCTGGATCCCACGAGTGGCTGGGCAGCATCTTGGAAGCTCCAATATGCGAACTCTGCAGCTGTCCAGAAAATTCGAAGAAAAAGAGGAGGAGCTTGACTACAGAGTTGTTCTTGAAGAATGTGTTTCATTCAGAATGAGTGATCCAATTGCTCGCGCTTTTTGAGGTGAACTCAGATCCTGACTGCTTGAAATGTGCCCCAGAATATGCGCGGTCAGATCGTTTCGTGGTCATGGAAGCCGTCGCAAAGGATGGACAGGCCCTAGGCTACGCAGTGCCTGAACTTCGTGCAGACAAGGAGGTGGTCTCCAGGGCCGTGTCACAGGAGCAAAGACTGATGCTGAAGGAACAGGTGTACAGGTCTAAAGAAAAGAACAGAAAGAGGAAAGAAAGCAAACGCGTGTTATATACTTGTGATACTAAGTCTCTTGCAAATGGACTTTGACTACCCGTTCCTGCTAGAAACAAGAATGATTCTTCCGTTCCTTCTCTCTCTTTCTTCCTTGCTTTAAACCTGTTCTCCCTTACCCTAGAAATTGCAGCAATTCTTCTGAAACGAGGGCACTGCAATTGGGCCTTTTCGCCAACATGTTCACAGCGAGGATGGCCGCTCTTTGCAATTTGCTTCTCCAGAGCTGCGGGACGACAAGGACACCAAATAGAACCCTGGTTTAGCCTCTAAGCCACCAAGAGAGCCACCTAGAATGTGTTTCCTTTTTGTGGCCTTCTGGAGTGTTTCTCTTCCGCTAAAGAGAAACAAGAGAGCGTCCTTGCTCCTAGTAGCGATGCCAGGAGCCCCTAGTAGCTACTTCCTAGTAGCTACTTGTTCCTAGTAGTACGGCAGCTACTTCATCTCTTTTGGTCTGCGTAGTTTAGTTGTTCGTTTCGGTTGCGTTTTGCTTGGCCTTTGCAACAGGAGGTGGCGTTGAAAGCGGTGCTGAACCAGGGCCGGGCCTTGGAGTTTGCCTCGGAGCGGCTCCGAGGGGACTTCGCCGCTTCGATTTTGTGGAGTGATTCCTGATCGTTGCTCCTGGCCTTACTACTAGCAAGAAGCTATTAGAAACAAGAATTGGAATCAAATTGAAATAGAAATAAAAGTAGAATTGAAAGCAATTTATTTTAAATTGGAATTAGAATTGGAATTAAGTTAAATTAAATTGGAATTGGAATTAATGTAATAAATTAGAATGAAATTAACTTAAAGTAGAATTAGAACTAAATTACAATAGAATTAGAATTGGAATTAAATTAGAATTAGACGAATTAAACTAAACTAAATTAGAATTAGAATTCAATTAGAGTAAATTAGAATTAGAATTAAATGAAATTAGAATGAGAATTAGAATTAACTTAAAGTAAATTAGAATAGGAGCAAGGGCATCGCTACGAGGCGCTCCTGGCATTGCTACTAGGAGCATTCTTACTACTAGGAGCAAGAAGCTACTAGCAGCAAGGGCATCGCTACTAGGGGCTCCTGGCATTGCTACTGGGAGCATTCTTACTACTAGGAGCAAGAACGCTACTAGGGGTTTTGGGGGGTTAAGCCGAGGTAGGTAGGTAGGTAGAGGTAGCTAGTAGAGACTAGCTACTACCTACAAGTACACTCCTACCCAGGGCGCAGGGTAGCTCACGCTTCAAATGATTTGGTTCCTAGATGTTTGGGGAAACTTAACTACAGCGATGGCCTCCAATCTAATAGCGGTGGCCTTCAACCTACTAGCGATGGCCTCCAACCTATTAGCGATATCCTCCAACTAAAGCCCTTTAAAGCAAAGAGTGCTTTCTTTTTTTGTGTTGTTTCACATCGCGATCGAAAGTGTTTTGCCGAGAGTGAGAGTAACCTCTTGGCATGTCGCCTTAGCCGAGGAAATGGTCCTTTGTGCCTGCACGAATGAAGGGACCCCTGATGAAAACATTATGAGATGCTGTGGATTGTTTTGTTTTTACTGTTCACAGTTTAATGAGTCGCGTGTTCAATTTCTTTAGATCTGTCCCCCTTCCTTTTATTTGTTCAATTGTTCTTTCCCGATTGAGTTGGGAAGGGTGGGTTCCTGTTCCATTGAAATTGCTTTAGCGTTTGCAATCGTTTGCAACCATGATTTCAGATCTCTACGCCCGCCGCATCGAGCTAAATGTTTTCAGAGGTTTTTCATGGGAGAATTTCTTCAGATTTGTTGAGTCACTGTGTCATTCGGATTTGGCGCGTTTGCTTCGAAGCTTTGTTTTCTGTGCATTTTGGAGCCAGGCAGGTTAGGGGCGATGCTAACCCAGAACAAGGAATTCACGAAGGCCAGAAGTGGTATGAGGCTATGAACTCAACTTTTGTCAAACATCTGCCACCCCTCATCATGTGTTCATGGTTCCATTCCCTACTGGAACCGTGTGACCGAATCTCGCTCCGCCAACCTCGGGCCAGCGCGATGTGGATTGGATTTACTAAAAAACAAGAAGCTACGAACGGGGCTCCTGGCATCGCTACTAGTAGCAAGGGACGCTACTAGGAGCAAAGGGCATCGCTACGAACGGAGCGATCGGACGCTACGAACGGTGTTTGTTTTGCGCAAACTTGAGAGATCTGTGAAAGCTGCACCTTTCAGCCCTTTTGCGCAACACCTCCGAGTTGGTCCGCAAGTTTGCAACACTTCACCCAACGAGGCATCACCTGGCAGAGGCCATACTCCTTTAGCTTATATGAAGCAACAGGAGCAACACACTCCAGCAGGCTGAACCCACAGTATATGGTGCGTGCAGCTGGCAACGCGGTGAAGTTCCGCGTTCCAACTGCTAGTGAAGTCAAGTGCTTCACCTGAACAAGAGTGTCCAGCCTAGATGAGTGTCTTTAATAGCTTCTTGTTACTACTAGTAAGGCACCTGTTACTACTAGCGTGGCACTTGTTTCTTCTCGCAAAAGTGTCACAGTAGCTAGAAGAATTTTGCTGAAAGTGTCCGACAAGAGTGTGGTGCAAGAGTGCCCCTTGTGCCCTTGCCTCCCAGATTTCCTTGCCTCCAAAAAAACGTTTTTCGCTTGCTTGGGGTCTGAGAATTTTGGAGGTGTTGGTTTTCGGGTTCGTTGCTGGCATCCGGTTTTTTCAGAGAGCCGTTATTTGGGTTCAAGGATAGTGGTGCTATTGCGACTGAATAGGAGCTGTCTCGTCAAAAAGACAAACGCGTTGGTCAAGACCGTGCATGTCTCATGAGTCAGACGGCCAGATGGGTGTTGCTTCTTAGAAGCTACTAGGTTGGAGGCCATTACTACTAGTAACAAGAAGCTAGTAGAAACAAGAAGCTACTAGGAACAAGTGTATCGCTTCTTAGTAACAAGTGCCTTACTAGTAGTAACAAGAAGCTTGGTGAACCAATTGCCTTTCTTGCGGCTCTCAGGAACTCCCTGGAGTTTGCCACCAAAGAATGGCAGAAACACCAAAAGATTGTTCTCTTGGCCGTTGATCGTCCGTATCAACAGGCTTGGCTGCCGGAATAGGCGACGTATTCCCTTCGGTCAAGTAGACATTTTGTCATGACTGTTGCTGTGGTTTTGTCATTGCCCTTTCCCACATGGGAGGCAAAGATACTTGGCAAAATCGAAGATGGAGGGCATTGGGACAGCTCACACTGCTGCTTTGGTTCAGTTTCTGATCAAAACTTGCCCGAGGAATGGAAATCGGAATATGCAGCCGATCCAGTTTGCTGCAGAAGAACTGCGGTCAAACTATGATTTCATGTGGCCAGACAAGAGTAGCAAAAGAGTAGCTATTAGGTTGGAGGCCATCACTCTTAGGTTGGAGGCCATTGCAAATAGGTTCTGAGGCCATTGCTATAAGGTCGGAGACCATTGCTCTTAATGGCAAAAGAATAGCAAAAGAGTAGCAAGTGTCTTCGTTTGGGGTCCTTTGTTTGCATCGAGCTCTCAGCTGCAGGTGGCAGGCTGTGAGAGTTGATACCCGATGTGTGGAGCATGCCACTGAAAGCATCCGCAGAAGTCCCAGCAATGAAGTCAATTTCAAAAGTTATAGTTCTTCACTCACGTATCACATCTTATCACTACTTGACTTCTTGGATGTGTTTTGGCCTGTATGTCCTGCCTTCCTCCCAGTCTCCCTTTCTATTTGCGCGAAAAAGCTTTAAAAAATTACAAGACAGCTACAGAACACTGGCTCGGAATGCAAGGACTTTCTCCTTTTTTCTGCTCAGGAAATGCATTGAGAGTGAGAATTCAAGAGGAAAACCTCGACAAGAACAGATGGTACGCTACGGAGTTGGAGGCATCTTGACAGATTTTAAGATGTTAGTAGCGATGCCAGGAGCCCCTAGTAGCGTCCTTGCTCCTAGTAGCGATGCCAGGAGCCCCTAGTAGCGTCCTTGCTCCTAGTAGCGATGCCAGGAGCCCCTAGTAGCGTCCTTGCTCCTAGAATCTATGTCGTTGGGGGTGCATTTGCAAAAACCTTTCTCGAGCGGCTCATTATTTACGGCGCAGCGCTCTCCGCAGCAGGCACTGCATCCGGGACTCCTTGAGCAGTTTGAGCAAGAAAGCGATCCTGGCGATGGGCAAAGCAGACTTGATGACTTTGAGGCTCAACTTTTCGTTCTTCTTCTGGAGAGGTTGTGGACACCTCAAACCTTATTCAAGCTTCATATGCTTATTCAAGCTAAAAGGAATAGTCTTATGCCTTTTGGTTCTGTCGCACAGGTCCCAGGGTGCGTATCGAGCCCGAGCTCATGCACCATCTCCTGAGTCGCCCAGATCTAATCATTCTCAAAGTTCACGGAACAAAAGAATTCTTTGAAGAAAGCGTCTTTGAACAAATTTCCTTCCCTTATTTTCCCAGTTCTTTGCTGCATTTGGTGGCGCAAACTTGCGCCCCTTACGCACGGCTCATGATCGCATGACCGAGCAGATGTTCAGTGAAGGACGGTGCACAAAAGTTGTGCAAGGATGTATCGAAAAACGATGCAGAGCGTTTTCCACCCAATTTCGCTGAAAAGCCTCGAAAAAGAACGCGGGGGACGGGTCTTTTCTCGCACAAGAAGTGCCGTAAGCGCTTTCAAGCATGAAAGTATGTGAACGCCAAGCCTTGAACTTGCTTTTTGGAAGGTCTTCGTGAAGGTAGAAGATGCAGGTCTTCTCAAGAGGCGAGTGGGTTACACGAGAGTCGGACACAACATGTCATCACGTGTCTACCGAGTCTGAAGTGATAGACGAAGTGTCAACTGTCAAATGAACCAAATGCGGCTCCTACTAGGAGCAAGGACGCTACTAGGGGCTCCTGGCCTCGCTACTAGGAACAAAGACGCTACTAGGAGCAAAGGGCATCGCTACTAGGAGCAAGGACGCTATTAGGGGAGTAGGGGCTCCTGGCATCGCTACTAGCGGTCTTCGTCAATTTTGGCTTCTTGAGTCCAAGGGGACGGTCGATGCCAGGAGCCCCTAGTAGCGATGCCCTTTGCTCCTAGTAGCGATGCACTTGTTTCTAATAGCTTCTTGTTCCTAGTAGCGATGCACATGCGCCGCCTAATTGAACTTAAAGTGAATTCTAATTCTTGTTTCTAGCAAACATGGTTCCTAGTAAGGCCAGCCCCGTTCGTAGCGATGCCCTTTGCTCCTAGGGACGGTCGTCGTCGTCGCCAGGTTTCAAGATTTGTTGAACAAATCGCACCTTGGCGCAAAGAGTTCCACTCACACTGCCACAGATTCAGTCGCACTGCAAGGGACACTGTCACTTGCACTCTTCGAGTTCCAAGGCACAAATCCATGTGCAACTTCACGCGTGACAGAAATTGGGCCAGCGGCAGCTTGGACATTTTCAGATGGCGTTTGGGCGTTGTGGCATTGATGTGATTGAGAAGCTAATATCAAAGCAAACGAAACTGCAGATCAAGCCCCATTGAGGCGAGTTTGTTCAGAACACTCCTGTGCCCACCGGCTATGAAATAGTTCCTTGCCTTGCTTGCAGAGACAAATTTGTTCAAGAATTGAAAAGCAATAAAGAAATGGTCCTCTACGAGTAGCAAGGACACTGCTAGGTAACAAGAAGCTAGTAGGTAGCGTCCTTGAAAGAAATGGTCAAGAAACAGTTCTGAAAAAAAAGAATGTAGTAAGGCCAGAGCTACTAGTAGCGTCCTTGCTCCTAGTAGCGATGCACTTTGTTCCTAGTAGCGTTCTTGCTAGTAGTCGATTCCTTTGCAGCCTCGAAAGAGAACCAGGTGGGAGCCGTGCGGAACGAGAATGCCGCTTTGTGGCGGATTTACCAGGCAGCGTATCCAAGCACTTGTTCCTAATAGCTTCTTGTTACTACTATTAAGGCACTTGTTACTAGAAGCGATGCACTTGTTACTACTAGCGAACATTGTTACGTATCTTTAGCGACATTCCTCTCCTTTCCAGCTCTCAGCAAGGTATCCAAGGAAGTCATTCGCCTGGATTGCATGAAGCCATTGAAGGACGAATTGAGAAAGAAAACGAAAGTGGAAAGGCCAAGGCAGAATGGAAGCTATATATTTGTTTAATTTTGAGTTTGCTAGAAGTGTTCTTCATGAAGAAAAGAACTTGAAACGTAGAGTCGTCACAATCAGGAAGCTCCCTTCAAGAAGTGGACACCTTTGACCATGGAGGCGCTTCGTAGCGGCTGATTCGGCACTGGGAGACAATCCGCGCCAACGCACGCACATGGCATGCATTTTTGCAATGCAGTGCAATGCCACACGTGTTTCTAGCAGTGTTAGCAACGCAGGCAGGTAAAGGGCTTGATTGGAGCGACATGGACTATTGTGATGATGCCAACGAGTGGTCAGTGGCCTTACTCACTTCTACTCCTCGTAGGTTCTTTAGACAGATGGTTCTAAAGCAGCAGAGATGCAGCCCTGAAGAGATGTTTGTTTTCACAGACGATTTGCTTTGTACTGAGGCTTCTCTTCCATGCAAGTATTCCTGAGGCTTTGACTTCTGCTTTTGTCTCTCTTCCTTACTGCAAAGGTGCTTGTTTGTGGCTTCATGACCCCAGCAGGCCCTCTCTGCCATTGCTCGCACGGGATTTACCATGGCAAAGCTGGGTTCTGGTGGTACCACAGGAGGAGGTGGTCTCTACGGTGATGGCCCGACACCCAATAGATGCCCTTTGTTCCGTTCGTAGCTTCTTGTTACTAGTAGTAAGGCACTTGTTACTACTAGCGTGGCACTTGTTCCTAGTAGCTTCTTGTTACTAGTAGTGATGCCAGGAGCTACTAGTAGCATCCTTGCTCCTGGTAGCGATGCCCTTTGCTACTGGTAGCTTCTTGTTACTATTCCAAAGAAACCAAGAACTCAACGAAGATGTCATTTCTCCGTAGTTTCTTCTGTTCTCTGGGAAACTCGACGTCCTTCTTTCAGGAACCTACTTCGGAGATTCCATTACAAAAGCAGATGAATATGCTCGTCGGAAGGCACTGCCAACATGCATCGCAACATCAAGCCGTCGGGTTTGCAAACACAACATGTTCCTTTTTTTGGCCTAGGAACAAAAAGCTACTAGAGGCTCCTGGCCATACTACTAGGAGCAAGGACGCTACTAGGGGCTCCTGGCCTTACTACTAGTAGCTAGAAGCTACTAGTAACAAGGGCATCGCAAACACAACAAGGTGTTCCTTTGTCTTTTGTCTTTAGACCTTTAGACCTTATTTTCCTTGTCATGTTCGAAACATCGTGTGTTTCAGAGTTCTACCATTTTGATCTCCACCTTTGTTGGAGGTGGAGAATGGTGAATTCAAAGGTTGCCGAGCAGCTGCTCTGTGTCGTGTGCCCTTGGCTCGTACCAAAAGCCACAAGCAGACTGCCAAGCAGACGGCGTCTGAGTCGCTGTTCTTTTTGGACACTTTTGTTGATGCCCTTCGCTTATTTTGCTACAAAATGCAAGATCAATTTGCTCTATTTCAAGAGTTTGGTGGATTGCGCAAGACTTGCAGAAGCACACAGGTGCTTGGTGGCCGCCACTTCTACATGGACAAGGCCATGGTCTGCAGCTGTCATAGCCTTCGGAGAAGAGAACGAAACATCCTAAAAACTTAGTTTTAAAAAAAGAAAACAACAAAACTTGAAAATAACCGAGGGCCAATGAAGCCGATCGAGAAGACCTCGTAGAAGCAGCATCTCCACGTCTCCACATAAAGAAAGCATGTCCGCAGGCAGTCCCCTCCAAACCAAACTGGCAAACCAGTTTGCAAGGGAAAGTGTGCGAACTTGCAAAGCCACCGCTTGTAGGTTGGAGGCCATTCCTATAGGTTGAAGCAAGTGAAAGACTGATTACAGACAGGTTGCTCATCCGTTTCGCACTGAACCGTGGAGTCTTGAACAGGACGTTCTTGAAAAGGACAAGCCAAAGTTTGCAAAGCGCGCTTTGCCCTGAGCATTGAAGTGTTAGATGCATTCATGTTCTTTTTTGTGAAAGCTTTGTATGCAAAGCCTTATCAGCCTTGTGCAAAAGGTCTTGGAAGGTCACTACAACAGCACAGTTGGAGACCGGTTGAAGGTGAAGAACACCTTCAGGCTCTTTGTCGCTGTTTGTCGTGTCGTCTGAGCTCATCTGAGCCCATCTTTTCGTTTGTCTAGGGAATACGTGGCCTACGATGCTGCATCCACGTATTTGGAAGCTTGGCGGAAAAATGTCTTTGTCGTTCTTGTTCTCAAGTCTGTGAGCTTAGGAGTATATCATCTACTACCGGCGAAAAGGCGCACCGTGTCTCTTTTTTGCCCGCTCCTACTTGATTAAGTAAGGGAGTAAGTTGCTAACTACTTAATCATTTGGGTCCTAGATTTTTAGGAAACTTAACCTTGATTAGTCATGCTGTGAAAGGCAAGCTGAGAAATGTGTAGCTGGCGGGATTCATCGACTGATGTTGCCTTTCTGCTTAGAGACTGGAGGAGTGCCTGCGATGCACGAATAAGAGGGCCAATGAGAGGACACTCAGTCCTTGCCACATGTTGAGCAGAGTGGTCTGGATTCAGTCCCTGAGTGATGAAGGGCATTGAAGTACATTCAGAGAGTAGTTGAAAAACAATAGAGGCCAAGAAAGAACCCTTGATCTTCTTTTCTTATTTCATGTATGTGTTCAAGATGATGGACCGTCAATTTCGGCGAGCAACAAAGCGTGGTCAGGATCCCAGTGAGATGGACCCGCAGAAATCGATTCGACTAGAGAATTATTTGTGGCTTTGCTCCCGACTAGTAGGTGCTGACGCCAACACCTTGCCTGATCAATCAAATAGTCACATTATGGCACCTACTTCAATGACGAGCAGCCTTCTGCTCTGCCTGCATGTACAGTGAAACTGCAGTATCTTTGCGGAGCAAAAGGGTGCTTGTAGTCTTGGCCAGTTTGGTCTTGAAATGGAAACGGGTCCTTGTTCATCCCTGTATTTTGACATTTGACCACAAGTATAGCGTCCTTGCTCCTAGTAGCTTCTTGTTACTAGTAGTAATGCCAGGAGCTACTAGTAGCGTCTTGCTCCTAATAGCGATGCCCTTTGTTCCTAAATAGCGTCCGCAGCGTCCTCGCTAGTAGCGTCGCAGGCAAGACCGCCTGGTTCTTTATTGCAACGGAAAAAGTTGGCACCTAGGACCGCAAGCACCTCACCACACCACCGGTCGACATGTCCATGTCACACCAAGGCGCAGCAAACCTGGCCTGCAAGGAGGCTTGATCCCTCTATCAAAGTGAAGAATTTGCTTTTTGCTTTTGCAAAAGATCGAGTCACAAGAATCAGCCTCCAACCTACTAGCGATGGCCTCCAAAGCATTTTGAGTGAATCTGAAGCATGTGGAGGTCTATGCCAGTGGGGTCCATCACTTCTGCAAGTATAACCGCGCATTTGTAGAGGCGCTTGGCAGATGCAACAAAAGACTGCTATTTTATTGGGACAACTGCACTACAAACTCGTTGGCAGGTTCAAAGGTTTAGAAACGGGCAAGACATCTCTTGAATCCTAAAACTTATGCTCTAACCAGCCTCCGGAGGAAGCAAGCTTTTTTCACCGGGTCGTATACTAAGGAGTCCATTTCGCGTGGCCGGTGTTGTTTAGACATTTCCACACATGGAGCGCAAGCTCTATGAAGGGCAGCAAAGTTGCGATGCTTTGCCAGTCTTTACAGCAGCGCAAAGCATCGCACCTGCTAGGCCGATCCTAAGTTCGGCCTCCACGATGAGGCTCGTACCAATGAGGAAGTGTTTGTCGCAGCACTTTTGTCGTTTGCCTCAGGATGCAGGTTGTTCGCACCCGGATTGCTGCGTGAAGGACAAGGGGCCAGAAGGGACCAGAGCGACAAATAGCTCGTCTGAGCTGAGCGCAAAGATCAGACGAAGCACCCTTGCAATCTCAGTAGGTGCTTTTCAGGTTGGAGGCCATTCCTATTAGGTTCCTTTTGCATTCAGTCAAAGGAAGCTTCTAGTAACAAAGGGCATCGCTACTAGTAGCAAGGACGCTACTAGGGGCTCCTGGCCTTACTGCTAGGAACAAGAAGCTACTAGTTAAAGGAAGCTTCTAGCTTTTGCTTTTGCAAAGCGTTTTCCCCCAGCGGCCAAGCTCACTCGGATGCGAGGAGGTGAAAGCGCAGATCTTGCACTTTGACTCTCCGAGCTTTTTGGATTGGCGCCGACTCCCAGACGACCAGACGAGAAGAGTTCCTAGTAGCGTCCTTGCTCCTAGTAGCGATGCCCCTAGCCTTTTTCCCCCCATCCCTCTTAATGAAGTAGCCGCCTACTTGATTACGGAAAAGAGGCCATCGCTAGTACCGTACGAGTACGCTGCTAGCATGGACGCAGGATAGCTCACGCTCGCACTTATGATTTGGTTCCTAGCTTTTTGTTGAACACTTAACTCAAAAAAGAATCTGCTCTACTTCTATTCTCTTGTTACCAGTATTGGAGTTTCTTGGATCAGTGATCTCACATGATCTCACATGTCTGATCTCCTCAGGGCCCTCCTTGCGCCGTTTCTAAGGCAAGCCAAATTTGCACTGCGTGCCTCCGCAGACATGACCAAATTGGATGAAGAGGAGATGCAATCTGTCCCTGTTGCCTTGTCGCTTTTTTTGCGTTACACATACCAAATGCTCAATATCACAACATGGATGTTGACATTGTGATCGGCTTCACAAGACTTGCCACAGATTCATGTTTGGATCATGTTGAGATTCTTGAGCCATCAGGATCAAGGACACCTTAACAGCCTTGAATCTGTTTGTAACAGCAATGCAACCGAATGGCGATGGCCTCCAAGCTAAGAGCGATGGCCTCTAACCTAACCTGAGAGTGATGGCCTTCAACCTAATTGCTTTTTTCTTGGTCAATTGACGACAATTGGCTTTTCATGATTGTGGAGCCTTTTGAGTCCTTTTCTTTGAAGCGGTTCTTGCTTGTCTTTGATTGACAGCTGCCTTTGTCTTGCTTGTTGGCCTGGTTCCTTGTCACCCGCGACGCCTTTGGAACACTCCGAGTGACTCTTGTTTGGAGTTCTTCTTACAAACCTTTTTGGCTGGAAACGTTCTTTCCGTGCCCATGTTGAAGCTGTGAACAATGGAAGTCCAATCTCTTGACAACTTGCCGAAACTGCTGACAATGGAAATTCAATTGTTTGTGTGCAGTTTATGTACGGTGTGAAAGCGGTTATTCGTTCGTTCGGGCAGTTGCACCACTTAGCAGGTTTAACTAGATTGTACTCACAAGGCTTTCCAAGGCACAGAATCACGCACAAACACGCCCTGGGGCCTTGTGCAAACCAAGAACACCTGGGACGATTTCAATTATTTTGTCTCAGGAGATGGACCTGTTCCCCTTTAAAAAGGCGCACTTGGTTCACAGAAAGACAAGTTTTCAGTTGATGCATCCGCATACTCCACTGCATACTCCACATGCGTCAGTCTTCTGTGCGGGCGATGAAGGAAGCTGATGTTGCGGGCCAAGTTGTTTGTGAGATTGGCTTTCGATAGCTTTGAGCCCGTCCACAGTGTTCCACAGCGAAAGCAAAGTGAACAAAGTGAGTTCCTGCAGGTCCCAAAGCAAAAGCGTGTGTACCGCTATTGGCGTTGCTTTCCAGGACGAAAGGACCGTGCGTCGTGCGTTGGCTTCTGCGTTTTTGTTGGTCGATTTCGCTATCGTTCCTTCGCCAGGACGAGTGTTTCCATCCCAGGCACCGAGAAAGCTGAAAACATGTGCATCCCGAGTGGACGTTCAAGGGGTTTTTCAATGACTGCTACTAGTAACAAGAAGCTTGCTTGAAGCGATTCGTTGTTCCTTTCACATGCTTTACGCTGACAGGCTCTCAGGGATGGAAGTTGAAGCCGAATTCGAGAGACTGCTGGCAGAGGCGACAGCTTTCGCACGAAAATCAAGATTTGTTGCGGTTTCAAGACCTTTCAAAGCAGGTTGGAGACCATCGCTAGTAGGTTGGAGGCCATCGCTCTTAGGTTAGAGGCCATCACTAGTAGGTTGAAGGCCAGTGCTCTTAGGTTGGAGGCCATCGCTACTAGGTTGGAGGCCATCGCTAGTAGGTTGGAGGCCATCGCTCTTAGGTTAGAGGCCATCACTCGTAGGTTGAAGGCCAGTGCTCTTAGGTTGGAGGCCATCGCTACTAGGTTGGAGGCCATCGCTACTAGGTTGGATGCCATCGCTCTTAGGTTAGAAGCCATCACTAGTAGGTTGAAGGCCAGTGCTCTTAGGTTGGAGGCCATCGCTACTAGGTTGGAGGCCATCGCTACTAGGTTGGAGGCCATCGCTACTAGGTTGGAGGCCATCGCTCTTAGGTTAGAGGCCATCACTAGTAGGTTGAAGGCCAGTGCTCTTAGGTTGGAGGCCATCGCTACTAGGTTGGAGGCCATCGCTAGTAGGTTGGAGGCCATCGCTACTAGGTTGGAGGCCATCGCTACTAGGTTGGAGGCCATCGCTACTAGGTTGGAGGCCATCGCTACTAGGTTGGAGGCCATCGCTCTTAGGTTAGAGGCCATCACTAGTAGGTTGAAGG